TATAACCCCTAAACCCCAAACCTAGTGACCTAAACCCTAACCCCTAAACCCCGAACCTAGTGACCTAAACCCATATATAACCCCTAAACCCCAAACCTAGTGACCTAAACCCTACAACCCCCTATAATCCCCAAACCTAGTGACCATGACCCGGTCTTCGGCCTGGCTCCCGAAAGCCGAGGCTGGGGCTTGGCAGTCGCTGGTCTTGCGGTGGCTTGGATGCTCGTAAGTATCTTCGAACTGCGCAGGACTTTGGGTTTAGGGTTTAGGGTTTAGGACTTTTGTACCCTTACCTTAAACAGGGGTATATGGCCCCAAATAGTCGGTGTATTGAGGGTCCCAGAAAGGGTAGATGGAGGGTCTAGTCTAGGGTATGGCCTGAACCCAAACCCCTAAACCCGTAAACCGAAAACTCGAAACCCCAAACCCTACGCCCAAAAGCCCGAAACCCTGTACCCTAAACCCTAAACCCTGAACCCCAAAACCCTAAACCGCAAGCCCCCGAAGGTCGGCGCCCATGCAGGGCTCGCAGTGGCTTTCCGTGCCCGTGCCGCACGCCGCGCTGAAACAAAGCCGGCAGAGAAGATCCTCTGAGTCACTGAGGTTTAGGGTTTAGGGGTTAGGGGTTAGGGTTTAGGGTTTAGGGTTTCGGGTTTAGGGTTTAGGGATTTTTACGACGGCCTTTAGGGTTCCTTTAAGGGTTCGTGTCAGGGTTTTCTATGTGGGGGTTTCTGTTAATTAGGAGTTCTATAAGAGTTTTGTAGGGTTTAGGGGTTTAGGGTACTGGGCTTGCGAACGACGGTGTTATAGGGTTTTGAGTTCGAACTTTTGTTAGTTTGCAGGGGTTTTTAAGGGCTTCAGGGTGTACGACGTCAGGGCTTGAGGCTCAAATCCTGACTGGTCAAATCTTCAGATTCCCAGATGGCACTGTCAGGCAACAACGAGCCTTAAAATCAAGCGGAAACAGCCTTGTCTTGTTTATGATATCCAGACCCGCAGACAAGCCGCAAAGCCTCCCTCGTCCCTCAAACCCTGAAGCGACATCCTGAACTTAAACCCTAAGCCCTAATACGTCCCAAACCACCTAAACTCCTAAACCCTATAGATCCCCTAAACACCACTAAATCCAAAAAACGCATCAAAGACCCTGTCAGCCCAGGAGCAAGTACGTAGAGACGGTCGCCGACCAGCGGCTGTTTGAGCAGGTCTACTTGCAGTACACTTCAGAGTACCTGAAGGGCCCCTTGGTAGCTGAATGCGTGCAGTTTAGCACTTTTTCGGTAATATTATCCCCCCTAAACTCTAAACCCCAAACCCTAAACCCTAAACCCTAAACTATATAGAACTGAAAGTTCACAAAGCGGCTTATTTATGAAAACTCAGCAACTAAGGTCCTCTCTACTGGCCTCCCGGCGGAAGCCGAGCGAATAGGGGGTCTAGGGCCTTGGGTCTTAGAGGAAGAGATTAGGGGGGCTTTCAGGGTTTGAGGGCCGGGTTTGGTTTCGGGTTTGGGGTTGAGGGTTCGGGTTTAGAGTTTAGGTTGAGGGTTTGGGTTTAGGGTTTAGGGTTTGTTTTGGGGTATTAGGGAGGACGGTTTGGGGAATACCCCATTCTGATTATTGAGGTCCCTTTCGTAAACCCTAATTCAAGAAAAACATCCGGACTAAACCCTAAACCCTGTCAACCCTGAACCCGACTTCACTTAAAGAGGCATCCGGACAAGCAAATAGTAATTTCTAGAACCTTGTTCAAAGAACCCTATGACCCTAATCCCTAAACCCTAAACCCGAAACCCTAACCCCTTAACCCTAAAACCCTAACCCCTAAGCCCTATGAACAGAAAAAGGCATCCGGACAAGCTTCAGGGATGGCTACCTGACTACCCGGGTACGCCCATGATCAAGGAGGGCAAGTACACGAGCCATGTGATCGGAAACCTCAAGGCAGTGGAAGCTTACGGGGATTTAGGGCCGTTTAGGGGGTCCTTTTGAGAGGGTATAGGGTTCCGGGATCCTTCAAGGGAAGCCCGGAACTCTCTATGCCCTACAGCTTTCAGTATGGCACGCCCTGGCGGCGTGCATCTGTCGCCACGGCGTTCCAGTCTCAAAGCTTCAGGGCTTAAGGAGTGTAGTTGTCTTCTTCAGGGTAGAGAGTTTAGGATTCTTTAAGGGAAGCCAAAAGTTCCTAAAAGACATCATTGATTTGGAGGGTTTTTTCGGATCGAGGGTGGAGTTCGTAAATTTAGGGCAAGGTGTTATCCTAGCATTTCTGTGTTGCTTTCCCAAAGGGTCCAGGTATCATTCTAGTAGTCTCCTAGTAAAATATTTGGGCCCCCAAAAAGTATGCCCTATACTCTTGACCACATCGGAGACCTAGAGGCCGCGGCTGCGTTCGAGGGATTTACATACTTTGGCGGGTTACGGACTTCAGGATGTCATGGGGTTTGCTTTGGGGTCTTAGGATAGAGGGTTTGGGTTTGTAAGGGTTCTAGGTGTAGTCTTTCTGTGGTTTAACTTAAGCATGCTACAAAACCATTGTTAGGGCATGTTAGGGCAAAGGGGTTCCATGATTTAGATTTCGGGTTTGCATCTGGTTCTGGGATTTGTGGGTTCCGCCCCGCATGTAGCAATAGCTAAGTTTCAGGCTCATGGTTTTGGAAAGTTCACCAACAAGGGCAATTTGTGTAGTGATGGGGATGCAGAGTTATCAGTATGGGGCCCAGGATGTACGCACCGGGTTTTGCAGTCCTTTGGAATATAGTGCGCTCGAGCTTGCAGCTTCTGGTATGAATCAATCCTGTATGACCAGGCGTTCAGCTCGAACGAGCTTGCCTTCTTGTCCATGCTCTTCTTTGGCGTCGGCCTCTATGGCAACCTGCAGTTCAACTTCTATGACCCGCAGTGGGCCAAGGTGGATGCTGGCGGCTTCTTCAATGTGTCTTACATCGTGGAGTCCTTCTTGCTTCCCATCTCGTTCTTCATGCACATTGCGTGCTACATTCAGAGGCAGAACGGGAAGTGAGGGCATCGGCACCGCCGTAGTGTTCTGTCGAATCTGAGAGGGCCGTCAGACGTTTGGGCCCCTCGCAGTTCCTAGCGCACGTAAGACGTGCTCGGTGTGTGGAGAGTACTGATCATATCAGCGCTCTCACACCATACTGGGAAATGCAAGGAGAAAATGTTCCACGATAAGCCCTAAACTGGTGCAGTGTAAGGGTCCCTAAACACGCTCCTTGGAGATTTTATTCGGTTTCGTTGGGTTCATGTCATAGTACAAGCCATGGGGATAATATAGGGCCTGAATAATGAGCGTTCTTATCGGAGGTTCCGCAAGGCTCCTGAACGGGGTAATCAAGGCTTCGATACCTTCAAAACCTATTCTAATCCCTCAGGCCCCCTAAAGATCAATCAGTCTCAGGGTGCAGGAGCCTTGTTCGAAGTATCGGCCGTAGAGATGAGGCTTAATTATACCTGTCTCCATTGGCATTAGCTACCGTTTTTTAGTCTGGGAGCCCTGTTGCCGTTGGGATCGGCTGGTTGGGTTTCGGGTTTAATTAGATTTTAGGGTATGGGGCAGTTAAGGGATCATTCTGCTGTGGTTTTTCCAGGAGGAGTACTCTACCAAATGGATAACCCCTACATCCTGCACCTGAAACGCAAGACTTCACCTCCCAAACCGTTCCACTCTTAACCCTAAAGCCAGAAGCCTTCAATACTGAACACATCTTCATCCAAGGAGATTCAGGTGGCCTCGCAGCAGCAAGTCCTCGAGGAGCTTGCCTCTATGCGGTGCTTGCTCTTTCGATCTCTTTCGTGGGGTGGGGGGAGATAGCAACTTCCGGATCCCTTCTTAACTCCCGCTTTCTAGATTCAACCCTTGTCTATCCTCACACCCAATCTGAACCGAACTCTACTTCTCAAAACCCAACTCTAGTTCTCAAGAACCGCCCTTCTTCACATTATGGAACGATCCTGATATTTGGGTTTAGATCGGGATCGGGGTCCCCCGCCAACCAGGTGATTCCGCCATAAATCTCCTTGGAGGGTCTTTTGCTTTCTGAAACCCCTCATATTGCCTACGCCAGTACTTACCGCCCAGGTTATTTCGGATACAGGGATCAGGCAGGAGCAATACTCGTGATCCTGGCAGCCTTTCTCTGTCAAAGCCATCTCCTGTTCGAACTTCACCTGGGCAAGGTATAGCCACAGAGCAGGAGCTCGGGATGTTTGGTTCACATCGACGTTGCGGAGGGCTTAACGGTTTAGGGTTTATGAGCCTAGAAGAATAGTCCAGGTGTAAAATGAGCCTAGAAGAGCCAAAGAAGCAACTCCTGCGGTATTGCCAAGAGCAGCAGGCCCTCACTGGCATGGCCGGTTTATTCCAAAATTTAGGACTGTCACCCTAGACTCGAAACTGCCCTACATTGCCCTAGACTAGATCCCCCGAATTCGCGGTGAGATCCGAAGGATGGATCCTGGTGTAGAGAGCAACAGCTGCTCTTTCGCCCTGGCAAGACGGAGGACAGTCGACGTCTAAAGCTGTGTGCTGGGGATTTCCATTGGGATTCACGGACGCTTACGTACATTTACGTCGTTTGGAGGCTGCTTTTCCGGTTTTACTCGTTCTGTAAGCCTAAATAAAGCTTGACAAGGGTTTCTAAGCTGTTTGCTTGGTGGTCGCTCTGGGCTTCCTGGCTCGTGGCCTGGAAGGCCAGTGTAGAGTTTACAAAGTTTACAGTCTGATTCTGACTTGGTGAAGCTTCGATCAAGGTTAGCCCGAGTTGTGTGGCCTGAGTCGCTCGCGGTATGGATATGTGCCTGCTTGCTCGCATGCGCAGCTGCCACTCATGCGCACGGGTGGTTGATGGGTGCGAGCGAGACAGTATGCACAAATTCAGGCAGCACCCTCCCCGATGCCAAACAGTTGTAACTAAGCTGAAACTTGACTCTGGGTCTTTCGGTTTCACTGTTTTTGCTGTTCACTGTGCGGAGGGATGCATTTGTTTTTCACCTGACGCCGCGTGACAGTGCACTGTCCGTGCTTGCTGCCCCCCTCCCTCCCTCCCTCCCTCCCNNCTCGCGCGCTCGCTCGCTCGCTCTCTCTCTCTCTCTCTCTCTCTCTCTCTCTCTCTCTGTGTCTGTGATATATATATATACATACATACATACATACATGTGTTTTGATTTAATCTACTTATTCCTTTATTTGTCTTGGCTCGCAATGAGCCTGGAATGCTTTCGTTGCTGCCCTAAACCTCGCCTGGCCTGGTCGAGCGCGAGTCCTAAAGATATATTTATGTTATTACTTCTTGATTGTTTATCTCTGTATAATAAATACGTATGAAGTATCCTAAAGTTCGAAACACTATAAACCCTACATCGCCAGTCAGTGCCTCGTTCCTTGATCTGCAGGTGGGAAGTGTAGAGCCTCACGTCTTCATCGAGCTCTACGCAGGCACGGTTTGGGGTTTTTAGGGTTTAGGGGTTTATAGGGTTTAGGGGTTTAGGGCTTGAGAGTTGCGTCTGGAGGGTTCGGGGTTTAGGGCAGTTGCTGTGCGAGTTTAGCTGCCAGTTGGTTTTGATCTCTGGGCTATGGGTTTAGGATGTTGGATTGGGGTGTCAGAGTTGTAGAGTCTATGGAATGTAGCCAACTGTTGGCAGAGAAGCTTATTTTCCAAGCTCCATCTCTATCCTCTAGTCTAACGGACTCGAACGACAAAACGCCATGCCCTAACACTCCAACCCAAACCGAAACAAGGTCTACAAACCCTAAGCCGCAACGCGGTAGGCGAGGGAGCACCGGAGCTTTTTGAAGACGAGGAGACCACCCAGGCCAGGATTCCATAGTCCGTATGCGGCTTTAGTTTGGGGTGGAGGTTCTTCTAATTGTTCGGAAGTTTTAGAAACCAAAGGATCCTTCATCTAAGGCCGCCCCGAAGTATGTAGTGCAACTTCGATTTGGGACGTACGTCACTCGCGCATCACCTGATCCAGAGGACGAGCCTGAGCAGCCTGAGTGGGATTCAGCTTAGCCGGGTGATTTAGGGTTTCCTGAAAGCTGTTGGATTAAGGGTTTATAAACCCTAAATCCAACAGCTTTCAAGAAGGGCTTAAACCCAGGGCGCATCTATTTTTCTGGGTGACTTATGGATTGCCTTCACAACCTCACGAAAGTGAGCTTCGCCTGTACCCTTTGACCAACATCTGCAGAGGTCCTCGCCAATCAGCTTCTTGGCAGTGATTTGCTGCTGTTCTCGCTGGGTTGGTAGAGTTTATATTGGGGAGGGCTTGCTTAAAGGCTTAGGTTAAAGGTGAGACCAATAGTACCACCTCACCACTCCCATGCTGGAGCCTGAACCCTCCAAATGCTCAACCCTGAGCTCTCAGAGCCCTTCTACATCCCATATCGGAACCCCATAGAATCTTGTAGGATCCCTGTTTGGGACCCGTATAGGACCTTAACTGAAAGAAGTTACAGGTGCTGCAGACACCCTGAAACCTAAACCTGAAAGCCCAAATGCTGAACCCTAAACCCACAAGGAAACTAGTGACTAGTGCATTGTGTCACGCCGACCTGCTGCCATGGAACCTCGCCTGCCATGTCCGAATCTGAGAGCGTATATGCTCTCAACCCTGAGCCCAGATACACGAAAAGCCACAAACCCAAAGACCATAAAACCCTGAACCCTAAACCCAAAGATATGTGTGTAGTTTGTTTTGTGATCGTCGTTGATATTTTTGCATAGCCGTGGACCTGCACGCCTGTTGATGCCTTGACTCAGTACACTGTTACACTGGGAGCGGTCCGGTTATCGGGGCTTTTGTTCGGGCTAGTCTACCGCTCCCCTTATTGAGTTGGGCTAGACACAGGAGGTCGGCGTTCTTGCAATCCCCTCGATGATTATTGGTTGACACGTGGGGTTGGTCTTTTCGGAAAGGGGATCGCATGTAACCCTGGACCTTCACACGAACAGTCTACAACTTCGTCGAACGAGTTCCCTGCGGTGCGACCTAGTCAGCTGGGCGGGTGGGAAAAAAACACCCAAAGATCCGAAACCCAAAGCCCTGAACTCAAAGATCCGAGCCCAAAACCCAAAGATTCGAAACCCAAAGATCCCAAACCCAAAGCCCTAAACCCAAAGATCCCAAACCCAAAGCCCTAAACCCCTATAAGGCGGATTCGTCTGCGGGCCATTGGTCCCGGGTCGGAGAAGATGATCGTCAGCCCACAGCTCCGACAAGTGAAGCAGGAGGGGGCTTTGGATGGTTTGGGGGGTCTGTGCTTTCGGCGATTCAGGGGGTTTGGGGGTTTGGAAGATTTTGGGGTGTTTGCAGTGTTGGGTTTCGGGTCGTAGGTGTTTAAGAGCAGTTCGATGCGCTAGCATTGCAAGTTTGGCTCCTCTCTCAGTGGTACTGTGTGTAAATCTGCGGCGTGTCCTCGGTAGAGTATTCATTGAAAGAGGGCTGGCAATTTTGGCTGTCGGTGGAAGATGAAGATCAGGTTTGCAGAGTTACCTTTGCGACACGTGTTCATGTTGGTCTACAAATTTTTGTGCTGTGCGAAGTGCAGTTGCGCATGCCAGGGCATTCAATCGGTTTCTCGGAGCGGTAAGTGCTATCAATCAAGAAAGTGCTATTAATCTTGTTGTGCCGTCGTCAGTATTCGTGCTGTTGAAATTGGTGCTGCTGGTGCTGGTGCTGGCGGTGGCGGTGGTCGTGGGTAGGGCTTTAGCGGTAGAGCAGTGGCGGTTAGGAGCAGGAGGAGAAGAAAGGAACATTATCAGCGTGGTCACATGATTCTTCCTGGGTCGTCTTAGTTTATTGCAGGCAGGCAGTGCAAGCAATGCTCCGGTTTCTGCTGTGAAGGTTTGAGGGTCCATCAAAGAGTTCGGTGCTAGGTTTGAGGTTAAGTTGAGGGTTTGGATAATGCTTACATAGGGCTTCGGCTGGAATCCTCCAGGTCGGTTCGCAAACCGCGGCTGCCATGAGCAGTTCAAGCAGACCCAAAAAGCATGGGCACTAAACGCTAAGCACATGCAAAGACAGCCCTATATGCGTTTCGAAACGAGAAGGTTGGGGGCTTTGACTTCGGTCAATCAGAGCCCATCCTTTGGGGTTTAGGGTTTGGCCAATCCCCCTGGCCCCAGGTGCATGTCTGACAGAACTGCCGACAACAGATGGTATTTTCTTTCATGATCAACGTGACAACCGCAATTCTTGGGCTGCAGCGCAGAAGCAGGATATCGGCAAACACGAGGCAGCGCGATGTTCCAACACCATCTTTAGATACATGCACTATACATCGCACTACACGCAAGCTGACCGGGCTTCTGAGAGCGGGGGCCGTGTGAAATTTTCTCGCGGCCTTTTCGAGCTATCAGCACCTCCCAAAAAAAGTGGTTCATTTGTTCTTCCGTTAGCTGGCTTGATATATGCCGCTACTCTGGGCCTTAGAGTGAAACCTTTCTGCATGTAAGCAGACCCACCGTGATGTCATGTCCTGGCAAAGCCAATCATAAGCTTCCACCCTGGGAGGAGTTCGCGAGCTTCGTGATCAACTACCTTGGCGGCGAACGCATAGATGGCCCGGGAGGAGAAGATACGTTCGCTTGCAACGTATTTCTTTGCAGGCCCGAAGCTGTCCTGTTTTTGAGTAATTACCAACTGTTCGTCAGGGTTGCTTGTTTTAAAACTACAAGACTATACCCCGCCCGCTTTGTTGTGAAAACGGAGGAAGTAGAGTGTCTTTTATGACTGCATGCTGCATGCTTGCAGCTGACACGTGCTTCACCTTTTCTAAGAAAAGGTTGACAATGCGATGGAGCGAGAGTCTCTCGGTGTTTCTTGCATATTGGCCCATCCTGCTCAGTCCACCTGGCGTAAAGTGTGCAGGCTTCGTTTTGGGGCAGCTAGCATCTTTGTTTACGCACGGATCCATGGTCACCTAACCCCTATACGAATCCACCCGCCGTGACATGGCAGGTAATGCTAATAGTAAAAATTTTAGTAATAGCAATAGCAGTTTTTTTAAACATTAATATCAAGAATTAGTATTACTACTAGTAATTTCGTTAGCGCTGTTGAGATTTGTACCTGGCTCTTGCCATGCCATCATAATGATAGACGGACCACCACCACCACCACCACCACCACCACCACCACCACGACATCAGCAACAACAACAGCAACAACGACAGCCAGGGCAGGCAGCAGTAGAAGCAGCAGTTGCTGCTGTTCCGACTGTTTTTTCCACGTGTGATGGACTACCAGCCTTGCGCCGCCAGGGGGCGATTCGAGAATAACTTGGCCCAATGGACGATGCGCCTTTGCGTGGGGAGACCCGGGCGGTGCTTTGCAACGGTGGGTATTTGTTCGTGGTGGGTAAGTTTAGCAGGCTTAAACGAATACTAGCCTAGATTACGCAGTGTTTAGCTGTCAGACTGCGGAATTTGGGCGTCGCGACATCTTAACAGGCCTTGACGACTAATCATTGCGTGGGGGTTCTCGAACATGCCAAAGCTCCCAGAATAGTACTAGCGACGAAACGGCAACGGGCAGAGCCGCGATGACAATGAAAGGTAGCAGTACTTAGAAACGGCCATGCAATTCGTACGAGGGGGAAGTGGGTATATTATCGGCATGATAATGATGATGCACCGGCCTGTGGTCGTAAATAACAGTGCTTGGTGCTCCCTGGGATTTCCATTGATGTCCTCTCGCCGGAGACCCCTACTTCATAAAACTTAGGGAGCAGTAGCTTTGGCTCTTCGGCTGCATGAGGTCGGCTCCTAAACATTTACTGCTTCAAGCCCTGGCCCAGAAGAGGAGAAAGAGGAAGCAGCAGACCAACATCTCAGCACCGCCATTTTCGCATCGAGGGCACGGCAAATGCCACATCTCGTTGTGCTGCGTATCCGGAATGAATCTGTTGATGCTGATGGCGGTTCTGATGTGATGTGATAGCTAGAAACACTATTCCCTGCATTAGTGTATGCTTCTAAACCGATTTTAATTGTTAAGTCTCCCAAAAGTATGCTGAGCCCGACCAACATCCTGAAAGCAAAGCGGTCAAGGACTGGATGGTGGACAAGCTTGGGTGGAGCTTTATTGCTCCCTGGTAGGGTGCTTTAGATACCTAGCTCTAAGGCGTTGAGACGTTGGGACTCTTGCCAAGGTTTCTGGCTTTAGATTTCGCAAAACAGTTGAGGACTCCATGGCTACTTTGTTGAGAGCCACCCCTGAAGCCAGAAAGCACGTCCTATCTTACTTGTTGCTGTCTTCGTCCAGCTGTAGACGGTCAACCCTGTCAAGTTCCGTAACCCGAAGCCCAAAAGCCAAAAAGTTATAATATAGTGGCCACAGTTTGTTAGGTTTCACGCAGTTGTGTTTCACCAGATGTGACCTAGAGGGTCTAAAAAGCTCTTGCGCGATCATGCTCCGGGGCTTCCCCCCCATCTCTTGGCTTGACATGGGGCTCTGAAACTTTTGCCATTTCCCCGTAGAGTCCGTAGAGTTGATTGCAGAAACTCTTTGAGGATGGGTAGGGGCATCTTAGGGTCTACTGTGTGCGCGCCTAGAGACACTTGCGTCGCCTGGATTGTCCGAGCTGTGAGCACCGAAACCCTACCAAGTTCTTGCTAAACAATGACGTTGGCACATCCTGACTGAAAGATGAGCGAGCTTCACCTTCAGCTCATATCCAAAACCAGGCCCACGTCTCTACTTGTATACTCTACATATCGGACAAAAGACTCAGTCTCTAACCCCCGATACCGGAGAAAGGAATTGAACGCTAAGGTTTCCTCCCTGTGCAACATGGGAGACTGTGGCCAGAATCGGCTAGAGCAGGTCATCTTCCGCTTCGACGGACTGGATGTCGGGTTTGTGCGTAGGGTTTAGGGCCTTGGGGCGTTGCGATTCTGGTCTTTAGGGCATCAGGGTATTCGTGCATACACCTACTGGACAGAGCTACTGACCGCTAGGTGCTATTTGCATATCTGCTACCTACCAACCACTTCTTATTCTACTCCTGGTCTGACTACTCCTTCCTACAACTACCGCTGCTGCCATTGCTACTGCTGCTGTTGCTACTGCTTCTGCTCCTACTACCACTACTCCCCCTCCTCCTCCTCCTCCTCCTACTACTACTACTACTACTACTACTGCTGCCAGTGTTCTTGGTTCCCAAACTCGAACGACTACTTCCCGCGCCAGGAGACAAGCGAGCCCTGCCCGTCTCCAAGGTGAACAATCCGTCGGATGAGTTTGGAGCCCGGTCTAAGGTGGTGTAGTGTAGGCCCTAAACCCCAAACCCCAAACCCTAAACCCTAAACCTTAATAGGGTTCAAGGTTGAGGGGTTTTGGGTTTTGTGAGCGCAGGATGCACTCAAGGATTAGGGCTTCCTACGGATCCTCTCTGGGGTTTCTGTGTGTGCACTCAGAGGTCTTTGTAACCGACTTTGTGGCTTCTGGGCTTCATCGGTGATTCTTGGAAGTTCGATTGGGACGTTTCGGGAAGGTAAGGTGTTATACTCGAGATGCCAGGGTTTCTGGTTTCCGAGCGCGAGATGCCAGGGCTGCAGGCTTGATTTGCAGACTCACAATCAAAATCAGCAAGACAAGCAAGCAGCTCGTAGTCATTGAGCCCTGAACTTAAACTTCTAAACCCGGAAAGCCCAAATCCAAAAGAATGCCTTGAACTCTTTATCCCCACAGCTTGCTGTCAGAGCATCAATGACGAAGCCCCTCATGCGAGATTTCTCATTTGCCGGGAGCTGTTGCCTGTGAAGGCTCCATCTTGATCAGAGTTTCGGCGTTATGTTGGTTTTTTTGACAACGTCTCCCCCGGACCCCAGCTTCGAGGTTCATGGATTCGCCCTTCCCCGACTACTGGATCTATCAGGAGGCGGGCAACTTCACAGCCAACTGTTGCTCAACCCTGAACCCCAAGTTTGAAAGCCTGAAAGCATTGACGCCGGAAGATCCAATCACCCACAAGGAACCCCAGGGTACCTTCGTAGCTCTTGTTGCCCAGACCATGATATCTTGAAATCCGTGACCTGCCTCAGACGGACATCATGCCCACTTTAGGTGAGAAGTTGAAACCGCAACAGACCTCATAGGGCGAATTCCAACAATGAAGGCCTCCAATCAAGAAGGCCCGGGCCTCCGGCATCTAGACCTGAACCCTAAACCCTAAACCCTAAATAACCCTAAACCCTAAATGACCCNNCCCCCCCCCCAAAAAAAAAAAAGCAGGCCGAAACCCTTGAGAGCGATGCATGAAGCCTTAATCTCGTGATCGGAACTTTCAGAGTTTGACAACCCTAAACTCGAAAGCCCACACCTGCGAGCTATGAGCCCCATGGCGTTTTTTTATACATTGAGTGGTTCTAGTATGCATGGCATACTAGAACATGAATGCCGATTATTGCATGTTAATCGCACCTTCTGGCATAGTAAAGCTCATGTAGGAGATCGGAAATA